AACAAAGACAAGTCGTTTCAAACAATACATGGAAATGATAGCGTGGGTATCCGAGGCCCGTCCCTACCTAGTCCTCTGTAGCAGGACAGCTGCTGGTAGATTTGCTTCATCCTCTCTATGTTGACGCGGCTGGCCTCAGCGTGGTTCACCATGGGCTTGGGGTAGTGGACTCCTATGATGCACTTGGCGGCCTTCTGCACTTCCTCTGGGGCATTCCAAGGATCATAGATGTACTTGGCTGGAAACCCCCTCAATATTGGCAGGTAGCGTCTGGGAGCAGAGAAAGAACAGAATGAGAATGAATGTGGAGCGGAGACTAAAATAAAAAAGGTGGAACATGTGCTGCAATACAGACCACTTTCTCACAACACCACCATAAATCAGACAATGTTCAAACAGTTCTGTGGTATTGTTGTTGTCCAGATGCAACCATGACAAACTGTTTCACCCACGTGAGCTTATGAAGAAGCACAAGTTAACCACCAGATCTTTACCTTCTCATTTGGTGAACAGCTGATGAAACACCAGAACTGCTACACAGCTCCTAAGCACTCAGCCCAGTACGGGAAGTTTTCCCCTTCCTGCTTTTCACATTGAATCCTGGTCATTTTATTTTGACAAGATTTTGCAACTAAAACAATGTTCATGTCAATTTGAAGACTGAACAAAGTACTGGTTTTAATGAAAAACATGAAACATAAATAACTGATTGCATATGTATTCATCCCTTCAAGTCCGTCTGTAGTAGATACAGCTCTGACCCCAAACATCACACCATGATGCTGCCGCTCTCCCATAAAGCTTTGACTGGTGAAAACAGCCAACAGTTGCTGTTTGCACAGTCTCTCCCATCCTGAAGCTTGTAGCTCCTTCAGAGGGTCGTAGGTGTCTTGTGGCCTCCCTCACTAACTTCTTTCCTTCACAGTCACTCAGTTTTTGAGCACAACCAACTCTAGGCAGAACTTTAGACCAGTGCCCCACTCCTTCCTTTTCTTACTGATGGATTTAAATGTACTTCAAGGAATATTCACTGCCTTGGACATTTTCTTGTCTCCACCTCCTCACTTGTGCTTTTCAAAAACCTTTTTACGGAGTTGCTTGCAGTCTTGGTGGTGTAGCTGAAACCAGATAAGGCTGTCTGTATGACAATCACCTGAGACACATTCGTTGCACTCAGACGACCTCTGTTTCACTAGTTATGCAACTTACACAACCAATTAGCTGCACCTACCTTGAACTATGCGAGTCACTTTAAACAGTGAATGCTGAGTCCTCCATTAATTTAAATTTAATACTTTTAGTTTATTGACGTTACTTTATAAAGACTGCTGTCTTTTGTTTTGTTTTTTTTGTAAATTCCAGCCAGAAAGCCAAATGAAAGTGCCTATGAAAGCTGAGAAGCCAAAGGTATGCTTCCTGCTGGCACTATGCTCATGTGATGAGGATAAACTGTTAAACTGGATTAACTGTACTCTGGCAAAACAATTTCCTTCGGGATGAATAAAGTTTATCTTTATCTTTATCTTTATCTTTATCTTTAAAGTGCTGACTCACCGTATGTAGTCGCCATTTGGGTCTGTGCGCCGTCCGAACCCCACAGGACAGTAGCAGTGGAAAAACTGCTGGAAGAATGAACTGCAAGAGAGCCACATCCAGCTGCCAGCATTTACACTCCAGTCTGCATCCAGCAACAACTCTTCAAAGACCTGTACAGAAACAGTTGAGACAATGCGTGGTAGTACTGCTAATGAGAGATAGGGGGCAGCAGCGAGGTACCGTGTGCGCTTATATTTCCTCTGTTCTTACCTTCATGCCTTCTTCCCAGCGGATCCAGAGATCCCCCCTGGTGAGGAAACAAGCCACCGCATGCCTTGCCAAATGATGGATCCATCCCTCTTGTCTCAGCTGGGTCATAATGGCGTCTATCCAGGGAAAACCTGTCCGTCCCTCGGCCCACTTGGCCAGAGCCTCTGGGTTCCGGTCCCAGGGGATCTGGACACACATAGGATTTCCCTCCATCTTGTCAAAACAGGGGTTGCTGGTAGCGGTTGTGTAGAAGAATTCCCTCCACAGCAGCTGACCGTACAAGGACAGCGGTGGAGTGCTGTTCTTCTTGACCTGATGGGACGATGGACACAAAGGAGAAAGGACTGACCGTTCAGTTTGTCATCTGTTGGACAGATGGGTTTGGCTCTGTGACCATCAAATACAATAAATGCATCTTCACCCTTTAAAATGAATACTGCAAACAGGAGTAAAGAAAAAGAAGTAGGTTTGAAATGCCAAGGTATGAAAGACTTCAGAGACTTAAGAGATGTACGCATCTCACATAAATATTAAATTATCCACAGAACAGTAAAAAAGGGTTGGTCCTGAAACACACTGTCCATGTGCTGTCACGCTGAGTCGTTCTTACCTTTCTGTACAGATCAGTGAGTTTGAAGTAGAAGAGCCGACAGGAGAGACATCCGAAGCGCAGGTAGGGGCTGAGGCCTGTGGGGCTGGCCAGCAGGGAGTTGGCGTTCATACGTGGACGCTCAAAGTTTGCCACCCAGGCCTGAAAAACGATAGTCAGCTTTAACTGAAACAATACCAACTGAATAGATGACAGACATCAAAAAATGTATGTTCAGCAGAAGGTATCAGAACATGAGGCTCCACAGAGTCAAAGACGTGGTTGAAGGCGACCTGGCGTACCGCCGATGGATCACTAACGGTGGGTGGAAACTCAGTTCTAGCTAAATTAAATGTACTGAGGTTGACTTTTTGTTGTCCTACTGAGAAACTACACCAGTCTTCTCAACTCTGATAATCAATCTTTGCTGCCTAGTTTTGACTAAACTGATCCTCTTTTAGTTTACAGTGACTTAGTTCATGCACTCCTTGTCTACCTGTCGAGTTCAGATTGTTGTTCTGTTGTCTTCAACCAGCTCAGGGAGACACGGTGACCCCTGACATTAGCATAGTTCACATGTTTGACATATCTGCTGTCCATAAACTGTTCAGGGTGGATCCATCTACATTCCTGACAGCAGTAAACCTATTAAACCGCCTACTAGTCCTTCTTTCTGTAGGCGTAGATGCTAATGTGAAAACCGTCACGCGAGCCTCAGATCATGACTCATCACACCGCTGACAACCAACTTAAATGACTCGATGTGATTGTATTTGACACCGAACTGAAACTGTGCAGAGCATGGAGGCTCATGTTGGACTGGGCATGCTGACAGTCCGGTCTGGCATGCAGCTCTGACCAACACATCAGGGACCAGGTTCACACGCTCTGTCCATTCTGTCAGTAGGAAAACCTGCCCAGGCTTGTGGGAAATGTTAGTCCACAGCGGTTTCATGCATTCTACCAAAAAGGGTACAAGCCAACCACAGAATAGCCAACTCTATTTTGTTCCCAGGATTTTCTGAATGTTGCTGTGACAGATCTCACCAGCACCATGGTGGCTTCGGTAGGGCAAGAGGCAACAATCACGACATGTATTCATTATGTCATAGGGTTATACATACACACTGCATTAAACTGTATTTGTACCTTCCTCTCCAGGTGGCGCTCTAGCCTCATGAGAGCCTCGGTTTCTCCACCTGGCCATACCGCTGTGGTGAGGCCTTCTGTCTCGAAACCTGGTGACACAATCGAGTCAAAAACCGTCGTTAGCTCCTGACTCTGATAACGAAGCCTGCTGGATTGCGTGTACATAAATACACCACGGCCGTGTGTTAACGTGCACACACACTACTGAAAGAGAAGGAAACGCTTACCCAGTTCCTCCAGGGAGGGAACCCCAAACCTGTCATCGTGGTCGTCGCTGACGGGCATGAGGCAGTTCTTAACGACGTTAGATGTGATGGTCTCTGCAGGCAGCTCCACAGCGTCCATTCGGTTGATCAGAGCCTGGAAGCGCTTGTACGTGAGTGGAGGCTGGCCACCGTTCAGCTCGATAATCCTTTAGGGAAGACAGAGATATTAAAAGGGAATCCCTACCTGCATGCACAGAGCCGGCGGTCACTATCTCCAGGTCAAACCGGTTCATTCCTGCAGGACTTCTGTCTTAACGCATACTCAAGAACCACTCACTTGTCCAGATTGTAGAGCGTGTGAGAAATCCGCACGACCACCTCCACTCCGGCCTCGCTGGCTAGTTTCTGGATGGCGGCATCTCGCTCCTTGCCAAACGGCTCAGAGTCGTACTCATAAGATAAATGAGTGATCTGCCATTCCTGGGGAAGCACACACAACACATCAGGATTACATATACAGGTTCACTTCACACAGAACTAGAGCCACAAGTGCTCCTAAGACAAATACGTAGATATCAATAACCGAGGTGCTTTTTTATATAACTACATATCTCAGCGACACGTCATCTCTGTGTGACCAGTTCAGGGGCTTTTGCATGAGTTCAGTAGAGTATTTGTTTCAGAGTTCAGATCTCCTCCTCCACTCAGTGTCTCCTACCTTAAAGAGACGAGGGAAGACATCTGTAGGCTGGCCTCTGATGACAAACAGCCGCGAGTTGATTTTGCGCAGGCTCGCATCCAGTTCCTCCAAACAGTGCAGCAGAAACCTGGACCAGCAGAAGGATTGATCACTGATTATTGATTATCAGATAACTCTGTGCCACCGATCACAGAACGCACTCATGAGACCATCAGTCACGGCACAGCTGATCTGATGACCCAAACAAAGCAATGTAGGGGGCGCTGTACCTCCACGACAGCGTGAAGCTCGTCTGTGTCACACGGGTAAGCTTTCAAAGGAAGGTTTATGCATTTATAGACATGCAGCTGTTGCTGGAAGGAGAACTCCTGCCTCAAACTAACTATAAGTACGCAGTTAACACAAATATATGTGTGTTTATGGCCTGAACTGTGCAAACTAGAAAGCCATTTCCACATAGCTATAAATGGATAACATACAACTACACCTAATGCAGTTCAGTATAAAGTCTAAATCACAGCTTTGGTTCAGATGCACAAAGGCAATAAAACTGAAACAACTCCTTTAATCCACAGTGAGTCACAGTGAATAAATAAATGCTGGCTTCAGACTTGAATACGAAGCTGTAGCTGTTTTAATTAAGATTTGTTAATTGTGCTGAAGAAGCACAAGCATTTTGCATTTCTGATAAAAACCAGCCACCCACTGGCAGGACCATGAATAAAACTAAGCAGTCTGATGCTATAAAAACCGACATTTACACCATATTTCAGTCCAGTGTGACGTGATTCAACACAGTATTCCTCCATCCATCAGTGCAGAGGGAAGTTAAAGGCTGCAGTGCTTCAGTGGGAACTGGCGCCCTCTGCTGGTGAAGCCTTTTCACACACAATCACTATATCACACACACAGCACTTATAAAGGTGCTAAAGCAGAGCAGACAGGTACACACAGCAGAGGATGTACCCTCTGGAGGTCCATTATATCCTCAGTGTTCAAAGGCTGTAAAAGGCAGAGAGAAGTGCTGTAGTTCACAGCAGCCCTGTTCTCTGTGGTACAACCAGCATCACCACAGCACAGGACCATAACCCAGCACCAATATTGTTCTCATTTTATCTGCTGCAGTCTTAATAAAACATGAGATCCAATCCACAGCCCCTCCGACCAGCGACCACAGCTCAGGGTTGATACTGACTGACTCTGGTTTCTGTTAGTGTCTGTAAACTCTGCTCCTGAATGAATGAATGAATGAATGAATGAATGAATGAATGAATGAATGAATGTGTTGTGAAGGTGATTCGAAATCTGCCAAAGAAGCCAAAAGCATAAAAACCAGAAAACAGTGGTGTGAATGTGCAGGAGGCTCCATCTACCCGATAACTTCAGACCTCGGCTGTATAACGGCCGTCTGGCTCATGAAGTCTGCTGAAGATGTGGCGGTCTGAACACCAACCGCATCACTAGTGGAGAGAAATAAATATTTCCTACAAACATGGCTTTAATCTGCAGTCACCAGCTGTTAGCTATCACTCTGTTAGTCATTACAAACAAATGTTTCTGACATTATCTTCTACCAGCTTCTCAAATCAGTGACTAGCTGGTGAGGTTCAGGTGGATCTGTTCACTGAAATAAGAACTGGGAGATGATGTGGATGAAGCTCAGCTGGAGTAGATTAGGTGGAACACAGGTAGACGTAGAGCTGGCCTGTGGTGATCCTGACCGCTGCTGGACTTCAGCAGGCAGCCGAAGCACCCACAGAGCTGTGAGGAGATGTGGGTGATGTGGATGGACGTGAGGACATGGACACAGGAGGATGAAGGGGATGATGGGAGGTCTGCTGAGTGTGTTCAATGTAGGTCACTGCTGCCAGTGGTCATGATGTAATGACCACAACAACACACTGACCCGGATCTGCAGGCAGAGCGGCGGTCTGGTGGAAAACAACTGGTCCTGGTGGGTCGGCACCACGTTTACTAACTGGTCGTGGTGGGTCGGCACCACGTTTACTAACTGGTTGTGGTGGGTCGGCACCACGTTCACTAACTGGTCCTGGTGGGTCGGCACCACGTTCACTCACTGGTCATGGTGGGTCAGTACCACGTTCACTAACTGGTCATGGTGGGTCGGCACCACGTTTACTAACTGGTCATGGTGGGTCGGCACCACGTTTACTAACTGGTTGTGGTGGGTCGGCACCACGTTTACTAACTGGTTGTGGTGGGTCGGCACCACGTTCACTAACTGGTCCTGGTGGGTCGGCACCACGTTTACTAACTGGTCGTGGTGGGTCGGCACCACGTTTACTGCCTTATGTGTCTTCTCAGGAAATGAACGGTCAGCGCTGTTGGGGTCCACTTTGGCCTTCATCCCAAATGAAGACAACATGGACGACAGTCAGATGAGTCCAAAGCAGACACAGATCCTGGTTCAGCATGAGGCTCATCAGCAGTGGAACGATTCAGGGAAATAGTTCTGTTGTTGTTAAATCTGCTCTCTTTGAACTATATATTTAACCTTTAATCAGGTCAGCTGGAGCAGAGGAAGGGCTTCACTCTCAGTGTCTGCAGCTGCTGTCCATAGCTAGAGATACAAGAGAGACGGACTTCAGAGAGACATCAGAAAGCCCGCATCCAACAACAACTACATACAGTACTAATACTCAAAAAACATACTTAAAGATGAACTGCTTTCCCACAGCTTCCAGGCAATGACAAGGCAACTAATGGTAAATACTCAAAAAATAAGGGGAAGGAAGATGTGGACGTCCATCCATCCATCATCTACACACCGCTTAATCCTCAGTCGGGTCATGGGGGGCTGGAGTCTACAGACTAGAATGGGAAGAACTAATTTATACTCCTGGAGGCAAACAAATGGCTTGAAAAAGCAAAATCTCTCAGAACATATGAAGAGTTTATCTACAAAAACAGATCACTGCATTTCTGTAGATTTTCAGAAAACCTATTTTGTTGTTGTTTGCTTGAGATGAAACCAGTCAGACTGAAGCTGAGCAGAAATGACAACAACAGAGAGAACTGAAGATTATTGCTGTTGTCTCAGGTACAAGATGGAACAGAGGACTTATGAAGGTTTGTGCAGATGGAGGGATCCGTTTCTACAAATGAACTCTTCATTTATTGACTGAAACCAGAGAATGAAACCACATGCATGTACCTGCCAACAGAACCCAGTACATCCACAGCCTGAAGGCCTACAGAGACATGATCCTGTGCTACAGCAGGATGTTTTTGGGATGTTCACAGTCACCAAACCTTCAGATGAATGAATTCTGACGGCCTCTGAACAGGTCACAAACACATTCACATTTCATCAGAGTGTCTGAACAAACCTGAAGGCCAGGTGAGTTACTGTTGAAGCATCACTGCTCCTCTGCACTCTTTGCTAAATCTATGGAAAGTCATTGTGCATCTGACCCTGCAGCGGACTGAACCACGCCAGCGCCCACATGCTGACATCTGATGCATTCATCGGGTTCAGAACCGGCTCTCTCCCAGGACAGAGGACTACCTGGCATCTCTGGCCACTGTGCAGTGAGTGCTCGTCCTCTGCTGGTGATGGAGCTGCTGGTTCCTGGTTCAGAAGCTCATGCACAGAGAGGACCCGGATGGTGACATCCTTTGACTACTTAACGGACACCACATGGTGTAGAAATACAATCCTCTGGACCATAACAGGCTTCTGAAGATGTTTTCCGTCACATTATTATCCAGCTACAAAACCTTTGGACCGGCAGGCAGGAGGGAAGAACCGGATCGCTCAGGCTAACTCGGGCTCACTACATTCAGGCCTGAAGTCCAGCGGCTGTGTCCGACCCAGTTATCACCCAGAGCAGCTCCACTTACCTCCACCTGTTGATGCCCACGTTGGAAGAGCCCGCGAACCAGGGGTCCAGGATGTAGATGCAGCGCAGGGTGTCGGCTCCCCGGATGGAGTCCCTCAGAGACGGGTTGTCGTGCAGCCGCAGGCCCTTCCGGAACCAGTGGATGGTGTTGACCACCATGTCGGAGCCTTCTGTATGGATCCACTCGTGGGGTTTGAGAGTGGGGGAGGGCGAGTTCCCCCAGAAACAGCGGGCAGGTGTTCTGCAGCAGAAACAGCCTCAGGTGGCTTCAAACGGGTCGGTGTCTGTTCTGGTCGCGATGGAGGGTCACCGGACCTCAGCCCTGCTCCATGAATCTATCCCCGGACTTGGGTCTCCTGAGCGGCAGCGGCTGCATGTGTGGACGGCACAGACCCACCGCGGACACGGAACCAAGCAGCTGTCAATACGATTGAATGCCGACGGAACCCGTCCCCAACCAGGACCTGTTTTAGTTCTGTTAGCCAACACACGGCGCGTGCGCGGTGACCATGTAAGCTAGCAGCTCGCGTTTGGAAAAACAAAAGTACAAACGCGGGGATGTCACCGGTTCTTCGGTCCGTAAGGTTCGTCCACACAAAGTTAACGCACTCTGGGCCCGATTTAACGCGCAAAACGTAGCGTGTAAGCCCCAACACCTGCCTGGCTCGTCCGTGCACGACGTCCTCTCCGCGTCAACATCTCCACCCACATGCACACGCACCGAGCAGAGCGCGCTCCCATTGGCCCGCCGCGGCCGTTGTGTAACGGTTCCCCGGTCACGTTTCCGTAATGTGCTCCGTGTCCTCCGTCCACACGCCGCCGGCGGCCGCTCGCAGCCGGCCGGACGCTCACCTTCCGACGTGTGGACGCATAATAATCATAATAACGGTCACAACGTGCGGCAGGTTTGAGCCTCAGAGCGCCAAACCCGCAGAAAGTGTCCGTTAAAGGCAGCGAATCAGAAGCCTGGGTTTGAGTTATGTCGTTCACCCAGAAGTACCCGGATGAGCACATGCAACGCGGCGAGGCCTGCATCACACCGGGAGCGCTCGATTTAACCCAGAGGACACACCGCCTGTACACCGTGACAGCGCGGCTGACGGGACCCGAGCCAACCCCGCCCCCTCCGAGCGGCGCCGGGCTCGGAACCATGTGGGCCGGCCTGACTTACATAAAGGCCGAAATGGTGGCATGACGCCTCCAGCGGCGGGTGTGGAGACTGTCCGCGGAGTTAGTGGTACAGAAAGTCCAACACATTACGTAGAACTCCTCTGTTTGTTCTGGGACTGTGACAACCACCACTATAGGAGTGGTTCTGTTTATAGGAGTGGTTCTGTTTATAGGAGTGGTTCTGTTTGTTATCCGTGGAGATGAGCAGACTGACTCAGTATGATGAACCAGAACCAGTTTAAAGTTTGGATGTTGTGCTGCACTAAGAAACCAGTACCGGCAGCACAGGGTGAGCACAGGGTTCTTATTTCACTTTGCATCTTCAAGGGTTTAGAAAAGTACAGCTCAACGGTGCAACAGACTGAATGTGGAACACGTGACTTCACCTGTAGATAATATAGTAGATATAAATAAAAAGCACTTGCAGAGGGTTCACATTCGTAGGTGGGGTTTAAACGGCATTAAAGCAGTTTTAACTACATGTTTCTCTTATCTGCACTGGAAGTTGGTCCCAGTTACACTCTGTGCAGCTACTTTATAAAAGAGATGATAAGAAATAATTTTGTGAAGAATTATACAATCTGCTCCTGCTGTTTTCTGTCCCGCAGAAATGCCAGGGTAAGCGAAAAGATAATGTAGTGTGCCAGCTAAGTGGAACATAGTGGATCACCCCGGAGCAGGATGTCAGGAGACATCATCGCCACAGTCTGGCCTGTGGAGCTGCACAGTATATCTGCTGCTGTGGTAAGGATCCCTCTGCACAGGCTTTTAACTTGGACAGAAATCTACACTCGATAATTTCTTTTTCTGTTCTAATTGTCGATAAATTAACGGGAACAAATCAGCTTGAAACAGCCTGCTCAGAGATTCAGAGACTGGCCGAGGGCAGAGTCTAATGTAAGGCAATAAAATCTGGACTGTAGCTATTCTGTAATAATTATAGTCGTGAGATGAGTTTCTGCAGCTTTCTGAGCCAACCAGGCTGTGTTTGTGGCTCAGTGCTCCCTGACCAGGCATCCCTCACTCCCACAGTACATTACAGTACATTACAGTACATTACAGTACATTACAGAGCCTCCGGACCCGGGGCGCTCCGGTTAGGGCATGCACTGCTTCGGTCAGAGGGTTAGTTCAAGTCATCCTGTGTAGCAGATAAGCAGGATAAGACATGAGCACAGCGCTGCAGTGGATCAGCTTCTGGGTGTTTTTCTTTCATGTACATTCTTGGCTCTCTACCCACTCTTCCTTCCAGACCTCTGTAGAACATACCTTCATCCTGATCTACTGTTTCTAAGGTATTTATAAATACTTATCACTCTCCTGATAGCTGAAGAGTTATTTATAGTTTTTATGTCAAGGACACCTGCTCTCCTAAATGACAGCCAGCTTCAGTGGGAATGAGCCCAGACTGTATAGAAAACATACCACTGCATGTGGTTCTACATGTGGACACTAGATGGCAGTCTTAACCTGCAGTTGTGTTTGGAAGACCTTCAACTCAACCTGCATCACTTCTTCCTCTGTGATCAGTCCTTTATTTTTATTGCTTTCTTCGTACTTTCAAGACCACTGAGATGTTTTGCGTCCACGTGTCCCCAGCTACAGCTTTGAGCAGCAAGGAGCGAATCGTAGCTGCTGTCCAACTGGTCAGTGTCCCGAGCTGAGTGATGACACATTTGACTCTTCGTGTGATGATGATGATGATGATGATGATGATGATGATGATGAGCTACCAGGTTGCATCCAGAGTTATCACAGCGCATCCTAGAGGAAACACAAGCGTCTGTGTGAAAGCTGGTCCATGCAGAAGATGTTCAGATATTTCACCAGATCAGTGAGAACAGTACGGAAATCATCAGAATAAGTAGGCTCCATCCTCTGAGGACCATGAATGGCAAAGATGTATGCAAACGTATTTAATTGTTGTGGAGCTGTTTGAACTGGGCCTCAGTGGTGGACCCACCAGTGCACGAGCAGAAGAAGAAGTTTCATTGTCATTGAACAAGAGCTACAGGTTTGGTATCGTCTTGCAGCAGCTCATAAGGTCCCAGTCTCAGAAAAAAGTTAAAAGGTGATATGAATGATAAAATAGCTATAAAATCTAAAATGTGTACTCTAGTAAAAGAGCATTTGTTAGAATGAGTCGGTAAACTGGTTCCTGCAGCGGTCTCTGGGGAAGAAGCCGTGTTTTAGTCTGACTAGCAGACCGGTATCATCATCCTCAGAGCCACGGTGACAGCATGGCTAAAAAAACGCGCTGAGGCTCGTGGCTCAGGCTGTTGCCATTAAATCACTCTTTTTTTAATTACCTGCCCTGGAGTTGTGCTCCCTCCAGGTGGCCCTTTCACATTTAGTGTGATTAAAGCAGTCCCTTGGCTGGAAAGGCTCATTTGCACCTCATATAGATATGAAAATGTGATATCAAATCGTCTGACAATAGATGACCTTCAAGGATACTTTTAAAATCCAATTTATCTACTTTAATTTTAACAGCAGCGGTTCTCCAAAACAATTTGCGACTAGCATTGTGCCTTATTGTTTTACCCTTGAAGAACAGAGCTGCCATGGAGCAGTCAGAGATGACAGAGAGGATTAACACCAGTCAGTCAGCTTCTGTTTTTCTCCGTGAACCTGAGAAAGAGACGTTACAGTTGTGCAGCTTGGCCTCTCTCCTTCTGAATAGAGGCGAGCCAGCTTTATAGCATTAATCGTATGACCTCTACGCCCAGCCGCCCACTCAGCAGTGTGATACGAGCTGCATTAAATTACATAAAACCCTACGTCGTGGTGTTAAATGAGCAGCAGCTCTTTAACAGGGACGGCTGTGATTCTCTGCAGCAGTTACTTATGTGCATTCATACAATTAACAAAAAGCACGGCTGCAGAATATCAGACATATTCATAACATTACACGTATTGCATGCTCACACCGTGTGGACATCAGGCCTGTTTCACACGACACACTCTGATTAGTCATTATAGGAAAAACACCAGCAACATCAACCAATCGTCTGAGGCTCGTTTTACTGGTGTCGACCTATCAGCTGCTGCTCTCCGCTTCATTTTCATTACATTTTAAACAAATGTTTGCATTCCTGATCCGGAAAGCAAATGAACCAAGAGGCTGTCACTCTCACTCATCCGCTCACACCACAGTCTGTCTGTCATCCTGTAGCATCAGTGTTTCACAGAAGGGTCTGGTCTACGTGGACCCATAGACCCGACCCATTGTGTCCACCAGCTCACACATTTCTCTGATTGTGTCTTTAGAGATGACGTCAGTCTTTCCATCATGTAAATGTCGTGTGTGATTTTATGGCAGTCATCTAATGCTGGAGCGTCTGGTTAGGGTTCGGCCTTCGTCCGTCCCACAGGTCATATTCTCATGAAGCATTTGTCTGCTGCAGACTGTGTGAGTCGTACTGCAGCTACAGTGTGAAAACGCTGAATGGAAGAATGATCTGAAATACAGTTTCCAAACATTTACAACAAATTGTTTTCATTGTTTGTTCAAGCTGGGGGGGAACAGACAGACTCTCCCAGCATGCTCCACTGCTGCTGTGACTGAGCTCTGACGCTGACGTGAAGGCAAAGCAGCTTTACTCACAGTTCAAACGCTGAGGCGGCTCAAAGTGTCTTACACTGGAAAAGAAAAGCGTTGGAACAACATTCAAAAACACAAACGATAAAACGTGCAAATAAAATGCGACTTTAAAATTAGTTAAAATATATAAAATGAAAACAAGAGCTGATGAGACCAGTAATGCACAGTGCAGGGTGCAGTTAATGTGCAGCAGTGGTTAGTACGTTTCCACCGTTACAACAAGGTCCATAGACTGTAATAATTAATCAGCAGCCAGGAGACGAGAGCTTTTCATTTAGATTGGTGAGTGGATGTTGGTTCCATCTGTGAGCAAAATAATACAGTAGAAACTATTTTATTGATCACTCTGTGTTCAGTACGTTGGAGCAGCTTGTTGGGCACAAAAACAATAAATTATAAGCAAACAACATAAATCTGAGGAAAACATACAAATATTTAATAAAACCTGTAGAACTGTGTAGCAGCTGGTTTGGTGGATCAGAAATCTATTCTGGCTCCAGATGAGTGAGTAATTTATAAACCAGTTTTCGACCTGTAGGGAACTGGAAGCAGTGAAACGGTTTAACAACAGGGTTAGCTCGTCTGCTCTGCTGTCCTTCCAGTGTTCCCTGGTCAGGTCTGTCTGTTTGGTTGATGTTGTGTTTGCTCATCAACAGTTTAGGTCGCTGATGGTGTCCAGTGCTGAAGGAGGAGGTTTTTTTTCATTGCATTAGCTGCTGAACATTCAGTCCGATCATCAATTAACCATGAATCTATCATTAAATCATTTCCTGTGGGTGTTTCTCTTTATACTAATTGAGATTTTGTGTCACGGTGTCGTTTACGTCTTTCCCCGTCAGATAAACTGAAGTTTGATTGTACAACACCAGGGTTCACTGTTGCTCCAGGGAGACGTCCAGCCGGCCTCAGACCAGAACCTCCAGGCTGCTGCTGCTGAGACGGAAACTCAGCCAGTCGGGGAGCAGGCTCCAGTTCATGGAGGTATTCTCTGTTCTGTTTTTGTTCCAGCATCAGTTTAAGTCATTTCCAGTGTGCTGACAGTAGTTAGACTGAGCCTAAAGCTTCCTACACTTATTTGCACCGAGCTGATTCCTGCCGGTACTGTTCACGTATTTAACCCAAACCACACAGAACGTACAGACTGCAGCTGTCAGTTTGGTTCATTACAGTGGATTGGCATTCATACAGACTCTGCAGAACCAGAACTCCTTTGGTGCACGGGAACAACACACAAACAAACAAACAAGCCCAGGTAGAACCCTGTGAGTGATCCCAGCCAATGACCTTGAAAGTAATTCAGATCTTCTCAATGAGTTCTCCTCCAGAGGAACGGAGGAGGATGCATTATGCATGTGATCTATTATTAATGGTCTTGAGTCATGTTACGATCAGACATGGGCCTCAGAAATATGTGGAGAGCCTGATCCTCTGGTGGACGTGTCCTCTAAACATGGCCACATCAGATCAGCTCCTTCTGGATCATCTTATTGATCATTCACTGCAAATTCTGTCTTTTGCGTCTTACGTCCACATTTCACAGGATTCCTTTTGCTCAACTAGACTTTTGTGAAATGTCTTTTTTTTTTTCTCCCAGAAGGAGCCAAACCAGCACCGGCTCAGTGTTCTCACTGTTTGTCTTTACATTAAATATCTGTATCATCAGCGACATCAATGACTGCTTTTATTGATCCTTTAAAGTGATCCAATTAAAACTCTTTGCTGCTGCTTCCCGAGAGTCCATTGGCTGACAGCTGCTCCGGTCCCGCCTCCATGTGTCAGGCTCTGCTGCTCCAGCTCCGGGAGGCTGCTGATGCCTGGACTCAGATACTCCTGCTGAACTTTACAGGCTGCTGCCCTGGACGGACTTTTCCTAAAACAACACAACAGATTCACGCGATATTTGTCAGCAGAGCTCGTGCGTAACCAGACTCCACCGTCTTCAGTATTTTCCTCCACTTTCTCCCAGCCCTCTTTTGCAGTATGAAGTGCAGTTATGGCAAGGAGTAGCAAGTCAGCAGCGAGGACCCTGGAGGATTTGACGCTAGACTCGGGTTATGGTGGAGCCGCCGACTCCTTCAGGTCTTCCAGCGCGTCGCTGTGCTGCTCAGAGGCACATGGGGGGAATTACTGGCATCTAACCGACTCGATGCACAGTCGACACAACAGTCTGGACACTGTTAACACGGTCCTGGTCGAAGACGCCGAGATCCTGGAGTGCACCGGGCAGTGCGCTAAACTACCCGAGCTTGAGGATGTGCCGTGGAGCCTCGGGGAAGTGGCGAGCGCGCTGAGCAAGGACGAGGAGATGAGCCTGCCGACCCCCCCGCAGGACGTCCTGCTCCGGCTCTCGGTGCTGGTCAGCCGGGCCCTGGTCAGGGTCGCCAAGGAGGCGCAGCGCCTGAGTTTGCGCTACGCCAAATGCACCAAATACGAGATCCAAAGTGCCATCAAGATCGTCCTGTCGTGGACCGTGTCGATGAACTGCATCGGCGCGGCCCTCAGTGCCTTGTCCCTGTACAACATGAGCACGGAGGAGGACAAGTTCAGCCGCGGCAAGTCGGCGCGCTGCGGACTCATCTTCAACGTGGGGAAGTTCTTCAGGTGGATGGTCGACAGCAGGGTGGCGGTCCGGATCCACGAGCACGCCGCCATCTACCTGGCCGCGTGCATGGAGAGCCTGTTCCGCGAGGTGTACGAGCGGGTGCTGCGCAGTGCGCTGCTGGAGAGGGACAACGGGATCCCCAAGTTCACCGTGGAGACCCTGGAGCAGGCCGTGAACGGCGACGCGGAGATATGGGGCTCTCTGCAGGTCTGGCAGCACCTGATCTGCGGGAAGAACGCGGGCGGTGAGTCGTGGATGCAACAGATGCACATCTTTGTTTGCACAACATTTCCATCCATATGCCTCATGTGTCACCTCACAGCAGGTATTTACATCTACACCGGATATGAAGGAAGTCTCACCTGCATCACAGGTGCTGCAGCTCTGAGTGTAGAGAGGCAGCTCAGGTTTAAAGCACGACCTGCTCACAGTCTCACTGAGGAGCTTCAATTCAAAGTGAGCCAGCGTTCTTGTAGCTGCAGGAGCTGCAGGCAGGTGACAACTGACTGAGCAGGTCATGATCCTGTCATGGCCGGCTGGCCTGCTCTGCCTCCTGAGCGGTGTGAGGTCAGAGATGCTGATCTCTGGTATCCCTTCATCCACTGCATGTGGCTGTTTTGTTCGTGCAACAAAACGCTGAGAATGGGGCCAATAGCCAGGCCTCGCTGTGAGCGCTTTCAGTGGAAGAGGCCGTCCCCTCGCTGGGTCCTGCTGCGATGCCCTCTAGAGATGAATTTTACTCTATTCACCACAGACGAAGGAGGTCTTTCATTCCTGTGTACATTTTCGGATTCAGTTCCACACAATACCTCCTTTGGCGGATTACACACTGGCTTTTCCAGAGTGTTGAGAAATACCTCTCGGTGTGTGCTTTGAAAGCATCTGAGTTCAAGGAACAAGTCTAATTGTATTCAGACTTCAGCGCCACTTAACCATCAATACCTCAGAAAGCACTCTCACACATGCTTGGCCCTGTTTTGATGGATGTTGTAAAAGTGCTGCTGTGGCTCCTCTTGCAACAGGTTTACGTAATAAAAGGCCTTGGGGGACGTATGTGCTATCATGCATTATGCAGAGTGATGTGAATAAAACTGAGTTATAGAGGGAGGGAGAGAAAGAGCGAGGGACAGAGAGAGAGAAAGTTAAAGAGACTCGGTGACCGTATTGATGAATCACCAGCAGAAGCCTGGCATCATCAGAGGAGCACTTTATTTCACTGCTCCGCTCTTTTTTAGAGCTCCACTTCAGCCGGCTTACCATTTCCAACGTTGATTTGCTTACAGGAGCAGAGGGTTGAGAAGCTTCAGTTGCAGGCAGAGTCAGATATATGTGCAGTAATTGGTCGGGATGACAACATAAAGTATTGCTATGTGTTGACACACGGTGCCAAAAGGCCACTGGGTTGTAGAAACCACCCGAGTTTAGGATAGTACTGCCCACTATTAAACTTTAGCTTTCAGTCACTCTGCACGCTACGACCGCTTGGCATGCGCTGAGTCTCCAGCCGTGGAAGAGGTGTGGCGAGTGTTCGCTGGTGCATTGGAGCGATGAATAGGATGAGATGCAAGTAAAGCGTCCGGCACATGTGGAGTGTTGACATGATGCTGAAGGCTGGAACAGCGGCACAGTGCACGACGTCCAGGCTGTGCAGGGGAGGGCTGCACAGCTGATCAGGTAGAGAGTTATGAAGTGATTAGTAAAGAAAAATGAACACTGTCACACCTGCGTTCAGTATATTCACAGACAGAATCACCACCTGGCACTCAGCTTCACACAGCGTTTAGTCATTGTTGTGGCTTGAGGGCTCACGACTTTATTGTTCTGGTTCATTCTCATCGTGTCACTTTTCTGTCAGATTGTCTACCTGCCCAGCGCCAGCTGTACAAAGTTAGCCGCTATGTGGTGAGCACAGTGACGCGTTTAGCAGATGGAGACAAATATCTGCCTGAAGGAGTTTGTGGAGGCAGAAACAGAGCAGAGAGGACAGTGAATATTGGATTTACAGCGAGCAGGTAGCAGGAAACACAACTCCAAAATGAAAGCTGGTGTGCTTCTATATTTTCATGTCTGTTGGATAACAGGATGTGCAGTGCAGCGTTCACAGCTTCTCATCTGTTGCCCAAAAGTGGGCAGCAGTGTTTTAATAAGTAGTTACTGCAGGTTCAGGTCCGAGGAGCTGTGTGTCTGTCCGTAGTGTTCTTAGTCAAGTTAATACAGGAAGCTGCACATCACAGCATCTCCTCCTCCCCCACATCTCTTATTCCAATAGGCCAGGTATGCATCTGCACTGACAGAGAGGCTGCAGCATCTTTTGTTGTTTTTTTTCCCACTCAAACCAAACAGCCAGTCAATCCGATAGTGGGTTGACCTTAGCGGAGCCGCTGCCTGCCAAGCTGAACCTCCACATCGCTCCATCCATCCTCCCCGCCGCTCGCTGCCAAGTGGGAGTAATGGAGGTGATTTTTCTACATTATGCTAACGCTGGTGACCCAACTTTGTGAGGAGGCCTTTATGAATATCTTTATTGCATCTCCTCCACCAAAGCTGATTTCCATTTCCGTGCTGTCACAGATTCAATCAGGTCGTGGCTGCTGTGGCTGTTCTCCTTCTGGAACACTGAGGCTCTATCCGGTTCCTCAGTTGTTCTCTTTCACAGATGCAATAGCTCCACGGTTTGGAAAAAAACGCCTTTTTTCTTTCTTATCACGAGATGTGTGAAAGCTGGATAGCATTTCTGTGTCTGTACTGTACATGTGGAACTATAGATGGGTGACAAATCAAAGGAAAAGCCGACATAGCGTGTTCTGGTCCGGTGGAGCCACTGTGTGCTGCCAGAACAGCTCCAGTGCACCTTGGCATTGATTTTTCATGTCTCTGGAACTTTACAAGAGGAATGAAGTCTCAGTCTTCCAAAGGTTGTTCCTTCATTTGGTGCTTTGGTGATGATGGTGGAGAGCGCTGTCTGACACGGCGGTCCAACATGTCCCATCAGTGTTCACCTGATGGACGTCTTGTGCCTGTGAAGGCCACAGCATGTGATTCACATCGTGCCCCAAACAGCATGACAGAGGCCCCGGATCCCTTCGCCGTAGAGGTCAAGGGTTCAGCTTTACCTCCAATTTGTCACCCATCTGTGCAGTTAGCACAGCTTAGCATGAAGCCTGGGAATAGGAGGAAACGTCCAGCTCATGGTTTGAGGCGTTGTGGTCTGGTTTTGTGCGGCACAGGCTCTTGTCTAGAAGCACAAACTTCTTCTGATCCTGGCAACCTCATAGTGACGACATGACTTTTGAAAGCCGCTGCTCCCGGCCAAGAAATAGTTCTTTAGTTGAAGCTAAGCTCGCAGGCTGTTGTCTGTATAAACTGGTAACAGAACATCTGATCCAGCACTCAGCAGGATGCAGTCCTCTGGGCTTCTGTCTCCAGAGGTCCAACATGCGTGTTTAAAGCGTGTTGTGAACAATAGAGGAGCTGTCCAGAGCTGTCCAGAGCTGTCCAGAGCTGTCCAGAGCTGTCCAGAGCTGTCCAGAGCTGTCCAGAGCTGTCCAGAGCTGGCCGGGGCTCCACTCTACGTACTGCCTGTTATGTCATGAGCATCGTTTTTTGTTCTTTGTTATCCATCAGTTTTGTAAAACAATGGAAAGAAAAGCTGTTCTTTGTTGTTTTGTGAATTGATATGTCAGACTTAACACAACATCTATAATTA